TTCACGTTTCGAACCATCGTTTATAGATTTTCATTTTTTGCTATTTACGACACCTATTATCTATACCAATAGATTAATCATGCAATGCCTTCGTGAATAACACAAGAACATAACCACATGAAAATTCAAGTAAGATCAGAAAACGTTTAAAGCACATCGCAAACCCATTATTGTGTCAAGAAATTGCGGATGATAATTGCATTAAGTAAACTTCTAACCATTAAACTGTCTTAAGATAATTATATAAAATATGGTTCTACTACGATATTCACTAAAGCAACAGCAATACGTTTTATTTTACTGTCTTACGTCTACGTGTTTATTTTACTGTCTTAAAAGTATAGAAACTAACCGTGGTATCCAAAATTTGTTCAAAATATATCGTAATTAACAAAGAGGGTATAGATTAACTATTGATAAGAAACGTTAAGGCTTCGGTTGCGGAGGTTTCTATAGTGGGTGTAGGTAACGTAAATTGTGGGTACGGTACAGAGTCAATTTTTCTCCAGCCACATTTAAACAAGGTAATTAAAGAATAACTAAATATTGTTAAACGATAATGATGCTTATGTAAAGCTAATTAATCCAGATTTAAATGTAAATATGGTTGTAAGGTTCAGTCAATTTGTTTACTTACGAGTGTTAGACTGTTATTTTCGTAAATTTTATTTCTTATACTAATATCACTAACAACTCTTGCTTTGTTTGGCAAATGTCATAATTTAAGCAGCGCTTTTATATGCTTTGCCATAATATCAGTCGTTCAATCTTAAATTACTACCATAAACCCCAAAAGATTAAAATAAAGTGTCATAAAAGTTATCGACTCGACATGACTTATCACATTAGGTTACAAACAATCTGCTGCGAAGAAATTACCTTGCGAGGTCCGACATCTTTTGAATATCGCTCTAGGGCTTTCATTCGACGTCAAAGTAAACAGACAAAGAAATTTCATCTACTTGTTTGATCTTTTACTAAATAGAAATACAAATAAAATCAAATTAAGAAGGAAATACAGAATTGTTTACAATAGTATTTTGCTGTTTAGGTTATGCAAGCCGTACTTTTCGGCGAAACTTCCGTGAGGTGGACGCAAATTTATATCCCCTTCTTTAATTCTTAATTTAAGATCTTCGTATAAACGCGAAATTTCAAAAAAAAAAAAAAAAAACAACAAATTAAAGAACAGCTCTGTACAAAGGAGTGAATAAAAGAAAGGTTATAGTAGATAACCCATTTCACCGTCTCGCCCATTCGCTCTTGATAAGAAGCTTTATAGTCACCGCATTTATTTGTGCCTGACACGAAGGCAGAACTCTATCTTTACGTTTATTTAAACTAGTCCTATGCTTTTAAATATTATTTTTAGTATAAATTGGAAACCATTAATATGCGCTTGCTTTGTATCTAGGTCATTACCTTCATGTTAAGTGATTCGTCGATAACAGCTTTTGATTTATTGTGGTCAATGATTAGTGGTCAGAAATTGTAGTTCAGCCACAAAGCGCCTATCTAGAAAGGGAAGTGCAGGTCACGCAATCGTTTGTTAGCATAATTTAGCTCGCCAACCTAAAAATATTTAGGTCGATCCGTTCCGACACCTTTACAATAGACATATTATAATATTTTTATTCAATTTATATTTTAATTTCTAGGTTAAGTATTTATAGGTATATGTAGGAGTGATGAGATAATGATATATTATGATGAATGTCAAAGTAATTATTAAAATTTTAACCATATTTTTATCTTGTAATCATGTAGTTGTTGCATATGTTCATGACAGGCGGTAATCACTTACCATCAGATTAGCCTCCTGCTCGTTTGCCCCTTTTCTCAATAAAAAAAAGCTGTATGCCATTTCATTGTGGTTAGTTGAATCAATAGACGCATTATTATTTTATTTATGCACAAGCGGATCTGGGGAAATTTCAGTGTATGACTATATTCGATTTTTTTATATATCTTAAAAACTGCCAAACAAGCTTGCGGTTGATTCAATGTTAACCGTGGACATCTACAACACCTGATGGGTTGTAGATGCATTGCCAATATTTTAAAACTGGGCTCCGATACCAGAAGAAACGCAAAAGAATAATAATTTCGCTTCACGCTGGTGGAGGTTGGAGTACTTTTCTGGACGAGCCTGTCCATTCGTGCAACAGTCGAATCTGATTCGTGGCCTTATTGTGTTAACAAAAACAGTAAGATTTTCTGTGGTGGGATTCGATTATATATTCATAAAAGGTAGAAGCTTATTTAGATGTGCAGGCATATAGACAAGCGTTAAAAACTTTAAGTTTCTTCCGCAACATCAAAGTGCAAAGGTACAAAACATGTGGATTGCATTATTACACAAACAAAGTTCATTAGTTTCAAGAATGCTCATAACGGTTTATCTTAAAACTAGCGACCCTTCCGCGACTCTCAAAGCTACGTAGAATACTCCACTTTGATTAATAACCAATCCAATTAGCATTCTTTTACACTATGAGTTTGGAGACGAAACTGCTCGACTTGCTGTTGCATTTGTTTTGTGGTTTTACAAATGACTATTTGAGAATATTTTTTTACCACTGAGGATAACACACGGGCGGGTGATACACCTTATTGGAACACTACTCATGGCCACCTAAAACACCCATTATGTTGTAGTCGCATTGCATCAGAGCGTGAAATCCGGATACATCACTTACCAGACGAAACGTAGATGTAGAAATACTGCTACGTTACTTCGGTCTTCCGTTAGGCCGAGGCACTCTTTCATGGAACAGCCTGCTGCTGATTTACAATTGGTAAAATCTAACGAGTGTTATTGTAATTGTTATTGAGTTTATTTCACTTAAACGACACTTCTGTAATATCGACATTTTTTTATATTTATTGTACACAAAACACAAGATACAAATAAAATTAAATACTATGTTCAAAGGGTGGGCTTAACTTAATACATGAGTTCTACCAGCTAACCGGGTGAGAATAATAACATTTGTGACTCTACATCCCCAGATAAAGTTGTCTCAAAACTTCCTATAATCTTCCAATTTTTATATTAGTTTCGTAATTTTATTTGTATTGAGTATTAGATAGGTAGTTTAATAATTGACATATGGAACAATCACCGAGTAGTAATTACAAAAAAATAGCATAGAATATTATTTCCAATCTGGCCACATTAGTTTATACGGAATGTATTTTTTATATCACCGAAATTAAAATATTTTGAAGTCCACATCAGCGACTTAAATTACTCGTTTAGTAAGTTTAATTTATGACAGTACTATCGATGACTGTGTTTTCTTAGTAATCTACATTGTCTTGTGGACTGATCGAAGCCTACGAAGAATATTATATATGTATATATATTTATAGAGATTACGAAGAATATGCGTGTCAAATTAATCCCCAAATCCGTGATGTTCTTTCTAATGTACACTAAAGCGCGAGAATACTAATACGCTATAAAACTTTTGATTATAACGACTAGGGGCACTTTATTCTTTTATGGGTATCAAAAATGTTATTGTCTACCAATTTAATCTCAAGACATCAAAACGTTTTACTGCGGAAAGGGTTAGTACTTATATGGCTGACGCTTTTCTATGATTTCTACGCTACCTTGAAATGTATTTCTTACATAAGATTTCTTGGTTAACTCGTATACCGCTGACGTTATGTTAAGGTTCAAGGAGATACAAAATTAACCACCTCATAATGTTTACTGCCTTCGTTCTTAATAAAGTACTTTGATACAAATAAGACATTAAACGGTACGAGTCTTTCTTTAGGAACGGTTGAACTTTCAAATTATATAAAACAATCCTTCATTCTTTGGCATTCCATAAGTAATAAATATCTAATTAGTAATCAATTAAAAACCCAATGTTGAAACTCTAGCTATCTACGATTGAACAATTCAGAGGGCGGAATCACTTTCAATTAGTCTAATTACATTGGCGAAATAGACGCTTACCGACTAGTCGTCGAACTTAGGTTGAAATAGTTAAATCCATTTAACAACATTTTTATTAGCCTTTGTATTATGTTAAAATCCTCTTAGCAAAAAAATGTACCAATACATCACAAATTCATGACTAATATAATTTTTAAATGTAAAAGGAAACGTAAGTTAAATCAATTCAAAATTATATTTTGAACTTGACGTATATTTTATGTTTCAAAAGCACGATAAAAATAATTTAATCTTAGATATCTCTTGATCCTTTTAGTCTAGATTGAAGTTGATAGAAAATTAACATTTCTGTGTAGTAGAGTTTTATTATGATTACTTACCTACGTACCTTAAACTTTATTAAACTAAAATCTGTTATCTTCCATTGTCGATTTTAATTTATTTTTTATCATCATCATCCCCTTATCTAACTTTTCGTTTGAGCTGATGGGGAGGGGATGGAAATTTGGGAAATATTCTTTTTCAATGGCATAATTATATTTTTTGTGACTTCGTCCCAGTACTATAATGTTCGTCGTAAACAATAACATTTTTTCACCTATGTTAAATTTTATCTTGAACTTTATATCGGCCTAACATCTCCGCATTTCCAACTATGTGGACTTACGCTTTTCGTTCACTGCCTAAAGTGTACAGACTATAAGTCATAAATGTCTAAAAGTTTGTGTTCTAGAAATATTGAGACGTCGTTACATCTTAAAAAGTAAAAGGAAAAATTCCGAACGGTAAAACAGATAACAGAATCACAGTATTTCGATTTCAGTTGTTGGGTGGGAATAGATGAATTAATTATGTTTGTTAAATAAATCCGAATCATCTAAATTCAGTCGCTGCGCTTAATCAAAAAGTAAATCGCAGATTAACATAGCTTTCGATCTAATCACATTCGTCCGTTGGCACGGCATAAAGTGAGCGACGAGAATAAATAAAAACACAATCGAATACGCGGAAGCGAAGTTTTTGTCTGCCCGAAGTATAATTGGATTTGCTACAGTTGGAATGAAATTGGCTGGTTTTTGCGCAGAGGGAGCTATTCGCGGCGAAGGCAGACAGTGGCGCCGCGGCTGCGGACCGCAAATTTTCTACCTCATCAGCCGGCAGCATGAAAAATAAGTGGCTCAAAGCCTTCCGAAGCCTGAAGCCACCTAGCGCTCTACCACCTCACGCTGGCCCTCAAGACAAGTAAGCATTCACAATAGTATCTCCACACACACGACATCGTATCGTCTATTTGTAATATGCCGATTAGTTCGATCCGTTTAAAAATATAACTTATCTAAGCTTCATAGGAAGCAAACAAAAGTTTCAACATTGTGATATTGTAGTATTTTAGAATTTAAACAAATACGAAATGCTTCGAAGCTGTTGCATGTTACGGTTCAAATTTTGTAATAATAGAAATTAGTACGAACTCAACTAAAATAATCAGGAATCATTACTTAGATTAATTTCTGTATACCTATATATATCATGAAATATTACGTGTACGCGTCTATATATATATAATATATATATATATATATATATATATATATATATATATATATATATATAATATTATAAGACTGTGTGTAGTTGTGTTGTATGTGAAATGTAGTTAGTGCCATGTCTAATAACTTTTACCAATTCGGTAAATTTTCTGCTTAATTTGACATAAAAAATGATATTCCAAATTTCCAAATATAAAAGTTTGAACGTACTTATAGAATAACACAATTTTATTATGTAATTGAAGTTCAAAGACTTTTCCCTTAGGAGCTATATGAACGTTAGCTGGGACAATAATAAGTTTATATTAATATAAAAAATAGCCTTTTATCAAAGACGAAACCTGCGGATAGCCACAAACTGTTTATAAGCAATTCCTTGAATCAATGAATGAATTTCTTTCTTTCAATTGGCTTTTTCGTGCGCGCTATTTCAACTTCAACGTAATGGTTTTTAATTAAATAGAAAACATTTTAAGACATGAAATTCGTTTATTCGACCATGATAATATTTTTTTATAAATAACAAAATGGATAGTACTTGACTTCGTAACTTCCTAATGTTCGTAAGCTTTAGCCTTAAGTAAGTAAGCAGTTTTAGTGGAAAACACATTAGCACTGAACCTATTTTTTTCTATCCCCATTTAAGCATCAAACCCCATGTGCAATCACTTTCATATCAATATAAATGAAAGAGATATACATGTGGGTCTGTTTTTTGTAAAATAGAATAACACGAAACATCAGATTTAATGTAGACGTGTGAGAAAGTAAGGTTAGACGAGTAAAGAAGATTAGAAGAAAATTAACAGAACGAGTGGAATATACATTAAATAGAAGAAAAAGTGTTTCCGTGCTCAAACCCATATCTTATACATGTAGATATTTTAAACGTCCGATATTAAACGAGATCATTAATGTTCCAAACTACAAATGATCCGGCTGCAACCGCGCTCGTTTACGCCAAACATTTCGTACAGGGCACGCGATGTAGCCCGTAATTAAACGAGATTGATTTCGTGCCAGATCAAAACGGCTTCCAATTCGGACGGGTTTCGTACTACAAATTTTAACCAGTTGTGGCGGATAGCTTCATAGACTTTTGAATAAGGTATGAACATTTAGTGCAGAAATGTTTTCTCCCTCGGTACAGTGAAATTCCCTGTTTCGCGCTTGTTTCATAAGTATAGAGTCACAAATTGCAGATACAACATCGGAACAGCTATTTGTCGATTACACAATTTTTCCACCAGGTAGGTGTTGTTACTACTCAGACTATAACGCTATTCATGTAGTCGCGAGAAATGTAGGACTCCGATCCAAAGCACGCAGAAAGAGTACATTCTATGACCCGGCATAAATTAGATTAGGGAACACAAATCCGCTACACTGTTCGTATGGTTTCTTAAAGAGTCTTACCAATCGTAATGCTAATTAATGGATTTAGTTTTATGTATCATTCAGTGTAGTACACAGTACAATAGGATTACACGACAAGAGCCGATTTTTTGTTCTTTTTCCTAGTCAACATTCGTAATTAAAGTTTTAGGATGCCTCATGGAGGGAAATTCATGCAAATCACTCGGTGTTTTCCTCCTTTATTCAGAGGCTTTTAAAGACGGTAGAGTTCTCTCGGAATATTCAGGTGTCGGCAAAATTGCGACGCTCCAGGCAAACAAGCGCTTATTTGAGTGGGTACAAGGTAACAAGGTGCAAGCGGCAGGCACAAGACTAAATATTTGCACCATACTAAGTACGCTTAGAGTAAATCACTTCGTTTGAAAATTCATAACGTTCTTCCACTCTAACGAGCTCGAAATTATCGTGGGTAAATAAATTAATATTTAAATTGTTTATAGTGCTAATCTTTGCACTTAAGATTGAACATTAAAATATGAAGAAAAAATGCGAAAAGATTGTCGCCGCTGTGGGAATCGAACCCACGTCTTCGGCATTCGCGGCCTGACGCTCTAGCCACTGAGCTAAACGGCTGATTGCCACACCGACGAAAATCTTAACGCATTCTTCCACAATGTTTTCTACATATTTTAATAAATTAGTATAATAAAAATTCAACTTATTTCGGAAATACAGTGGTGTGGAAATGAAAATATATTCGCTTCGAACACAATATTAACCAAGTGGTTATTGTAAATAATATTTGTGTTCCATAAATTAATGCAAAAATGTTTTAAGCTATAAATATTTCATTCAAATAATTAATCTTGTATATATCTTCTGACTCGGTGGCGCGGTCACAAAACTATTGGCTTCTACACCAGGGGTTGCGGGTTCGATTCTCACACGGAACAAGCATCTGACTCACAGTATTTGTTTCGGAACTGGGTGGTTGTTCCCATGTTCTTATTTTATTCTTTAAAAAAAGAATAAAATAATATTTACTTTAAGTTACATTCTATCCATTGAATTTTTATTCACGAGTTTTTAACTTACAGATAATGGTATAAGCACTGATTATATTAGCTTACAACATTTTCTAAACGCTTCCAAGTTGGTCAAACAACCAACAAACGGTCCAACATGTTTTATTAGTACTATCATACATTACTTTACCACAAAATCTGTTAGACATGTGTGTTAACTCTACTTTAACATAAAAATAATATTTATATTATTTATATTTTGATTTATGTATTTCAATTATACGCACATATGACTTGATTATGGGTCTGTAATGATGATTTTTAAACCTCGTGGTAGTGTTCTCTTAAACAATTTTACACAACAAATTTGTACACATTTGTAATTGTTATTGTACAATCACATTATCATGTTCATTTTGATGTTTCTTTCTTGCATCGATAAAGAAAAAATCAAATGTACCACGCGGTGTCAACGGTTATGGCCATGAGGTAACCATACCCCGTAGGTTAGCCTTGAATGTTCACTGTGTTTTCTTTTGTAAAGCCCAGCTCTTACCATCACACGTAGATTCAATTTAAATTTTATTTTGAATGGTCCAGAATTAGTATGTTGATTGTTTGTTTGCATTTTTAGTTATTAAAGCACCTTCCCTCGAGAGTAACTTTCAGTTCAATGTATAACAAGTTGGATCGTACAGTAAAAGTCCTCTATGTTTTGTTTCGTTCGCTTGTAATGTAAATGTTGATTGTTTTGTTCATTCGGTAGCATCATTAGGGCGGTTTAGTTTCTGATAGTTCGAAGCGGGCATATTGTCCCGAATGAATGCCATTGCGACTAGAGTCATTAGCCGTACCAGACATTGGAAGGTTGAATGGAGCACACCTCGTTACACCGCCACGTGCACTTGACCTTCGGACGTCACCGATCAATATTTGTGACGTATATTACCCCCGTGGTCGTGACAGCCTGTGGAAAGTACCAGCTTGATAAATGACCCTAACAGTCTGTTTGGAAATCGCAGCCAGCTCTCCCCCCCGTTGTGCAAACATATTTACATTGACACTGACTTGATTGTGTTTACAATTTATTTTAACGTTTGAATATTCTACAAACAAATTACGTACATGCACAATTCACCGAGGCGTTTATATGAAGTCAGTTAAGGAAGTAATTATTTTTTTCACTTCTTTAACTCAGCGAATGACATTTTGAGGCTAACTAAAATATCTTACGAATTGATGATTTCGCTAGAATTATTAAACTAAAATTACGAAGAAGCGTAATTTACTATTTTAATATTAATAAAGCTAAAACGTTATAGGAGGAATGGAGCAGCACGCGACGCTATGCGTTCTGGTGGTGATTCAGAGGCCCACAATTTCCAAGAGTACACATACAAGAAAATTACTCCGTGTGATGTATGTTCTCAAGTTCTTCGAGGTAAGTTTTCAATTTTCTTCTTTTGTACTAGCTCAAGCCTTATTCTAAAATAGGAAAAAGGTAAACTGATTGTAGTACGCAATTCGCCTTTCTTAATTAAGTTTTTTTAATTAAGCCTTTTTTAAGTTTCTAACTAACACTATGGACTTGTATTATGATTTATTATGTGCAGTCTGAAATAAATAATTTCATTTCATTTCATTTCATTCATTTATATAAAGGGCATTGTCCACTTTGTATGGGGGTTTTGGCTTGGAGTGAACAGTCACTGAGAATAACAACGATGTTTAGAATTAGTAGATTTATTCAGAAGGAATTAGAAAAATAATAAAGTTTTGTGTCCAGGTGTTTCTTAGCTTTTTTAATAAACATTTATAAACGGGGCTTTGAAATATAATATCGAATTTAGTTTTCATATTTTTTTATTAATCAGATTCATAAGTTAATAAAATGTTATCTAAGAACTGGACAGGTGGATTTACAGACTCTTGGTACCTTGCCCAGCTCATGAACCAAATAAAGTCATTATATGGGCACAGCAACCCACTGTCCGACGAGCCACCATGCAGTTGCAAAAATATTGTTTTATACTACCTGTCTGTTTTTTATTTTCATATAAGATGTAAATATAATATATTTTTCTGCTGATACAAAACAGCATACATTCACAAATCACAATACCTACGAATAAAGGAAATGACATTTGTCAAAATAACAGTCACAACTCAAAAGTATTGCCTGATGTTGCCATAAAAATCGTAACCAATGAACAATCTTTTTTTCTATGATTCTGGAATTTTGTTATCCTTTATGCCAATGACAAGTAAAATAATGAACAATTTATTCAAATATATTGGCAATTAAAGTTGATGAAAATAATACAATATTAACTTTAATTCCTTACAAATACTTATGTATAAAAATGCAGTGCCACATGATTTCGTGACATGCACTTTCGATAAATTATTTTTACCACAAACTAAGTTACTAAGTTAATAAATGAGAATAATAATATTATTTTGATCGATTAAAAATCGAATAGTCATAGGTGTGATTTAGATTTTTATACTGGCAAGGTAATATTTTAAAATGTCGACAAGACTTTGTGTATATAAATCAATATAAATACTCATTATTGGATGTTTTTATCCGTTTGAATCGATACAACCGACAAATACAAATATTCATGTTTTATTCAGGGATATTTTTTGGTACAATTGTTTTTATCTAAGAATTCTGTTCACGCGAAGCCAAAAATGGACAATGTCCTTTCTTTGTCTAACCGTGTACGACTTCGACTCCGAAGTTTTCGATTTCTTTTATCAGCATATGATTTGCTTAATTTGTTAAAGTCGTTTCTTTTATTTACTTTAAATTGACTAAAATATTATGTACACTAATAATATTATGTTAATATTATGTACACTATGAAATATTATGTACACTAGATCCGAGTAACATTAAGCCATTCCCTGGTATTGTATTGTAGCCATGTTTCTGAACATGGCCATTTTTTGTTTTTTTTTTTTCTACAGAGGTTCTACAGAGGATAAAGTTGCTACATTTTTAATTAACTCTACGATAATTTGGACGGATTTTGAAATTCACCTTTTAAGCTTTACTTATCGCATTAATTTCCTCATTTTATTTAATTAGTGTATTTGATACATTGTCATCATCTCAATGTATTGCTTTAAGATAACTAATAATAAAATCTTTATTTTATTTTCATTGCATATTATTATAGGCACCGTATTGAGACAAATATTATTAAGGTTTTTGTTTCATTAGTTACCTATAACTAGATCATAACGTTTTGTCAACGATAACGTTATGCGGCACAAAGAAACGTATTAATTTCGCTACTCGTTACTAGTTACGCGCAACAGTTGAGATGATTTATTATATAGTCAATTAAGTGAAAGCTTAGTTGGGCTTACGATAGTTTATTTCTGTCGTAGCAACGTCAGAAACACACTATACATATATACGTTTGTATATGCTACATTTAGCAAGCACTGATGCAGTGCAGTGCTGACAATAGATAGCTTATATAAAGCATGAATGAAGATTCTGTTACATACTTTTAATCTTATTATTATTCCTAGCTTCTTTATACCGACACTGGTCGTGATTTAAATTTAAATTTAAATCATCTTTCTTTTTAAATTTCTTCAGCGGGTTTCCGTTTTTCTACGACGGTTTCCTTTTCTCCACTATGTCCTTTTAATAGCAGTTGTATATTAATTGATAAATATTTTCGTATCGTGAACATTTTAAGTACACCTTATTTTTATGCAGGGAGGTCAAACTCGATCACTGCTTATTTTAACATTTTGTCAATTAATATTTGTTTTGCAGAATAATACTATTAACTGCATTAAAAATTCATAATTTTTAAAGCGGTTAATATTATTATTTTATTATCATATCAAAACACAGACAGGAAAATCTCTTCAGTCGAATATGTGTAGGTTGATACTATCTCGCTTGATTGCTACAGCAATTAGCCCATGTCAAAAGGCAAGAAAAAGGATACATGAAGAGATTATACCTCTTTTCCCGTTCCAATTTACCTTGAATCACATTGAATTTGATTGACGAAAAAAATATAATCATTGAAACTTATTGGATCTTACTCTTTTTTTTTTTTCGGCCAGCGCTTGACTTCCATCCCTCCTGACGGTAAGTGGCGTCGCAGCCGTTGATGATAAACGCGCTGGGTCCGTAAAAACCTATTCACTCTTGCCTTGAAGACATACGTTTTATACAGATGGAAAGACGGACGCTGGCAGCCATTCCCTGTACGGATAATGAATGACCAAGCGAGTCGCTTACATGTCAACTTGGTATAATACAGTTTCTTTATGTATGTACAACTAATTTTACCTTTGGCTAAATGAAGTAAGTAACACGGTGTATTTGGAGATATATATTTTATAGATAAGACCCTTTTTACATTACTACACATACTGAAGGCGGATGTGACGTGGAACTATGCCTTTGTGTTTGATCTGACGAGAGAGCCCATCCTTTTAAAGATGATGTTGGATGGCTTCCGTTATCACCTATCGTCCGATGAACCTATCCCTAGTTATTTATTATCCATTATTTATAAATAATTCGAGAACCAAACATCATTATTGTTTAATAGGTTTGAAATTTAGGTATTAAGTTTTTATATTGCAATGATTGATTTATAACGATGTTAGTTTGCCCTAATTAGATAAAAGAAAACTACATCGTTTGCTATTCGAAAACAAAAACGAACGTTGTTTCCAAGGTTATTAGGCTCATTACCGAGTCACTTTTATATTGTAACGCGTAGAAGTTGATAAGTTACGAAGTAAGGGAGTTATATTAAGGCCAACTCTGGCACGTTATTGGTATAATTCGAGGCAAAACATAAATTCCGACACTGTCATGCACGAAAAGTTCCACAAGTTGACATGGCTTTCCCGAAGTTCCATCAATCGCGCCTTAATTTTGTGAACAGTGAAAGTTTTCTACTACACCAAAAATTTTCAACCGAAAATGGTCTTAACTACAAAACTTTTTGCTGTTCGTTGTTAGATGAATTTCAAATTGGAGCCTTTATATTTATTAGTCCTGAAACTTGAAAACCTACTTCTCTTTTATCGTCCCCTTGCTTTCGAAATACTTTATTGATGAACGAGTTCAGAAGATATTGGTCATCATCTAAAGTTTATTTAAGTATGTTAAAGTTATGTTTTATCAAAAGTTTCACCTCAGCGCAAAGTAAAACCACATTGTATTGTCACATTAATGTTAACTAACATCTGCCACTTTTCGCTGTGGTAGAGCCACGTGACAGCTTCTGTTGCACGAATGTGCAGGATCATTCGAAAAACTACCACGGCCACACAGTAGACCCGCTTGAAATAGAATTATTGAACTTTTGCGTTTCGTCTGGTAATTTTGGTAGCCAGGACCCACATTTTGAAATGTTGTAAACGCATCAGCAAGCCATCGGGTGTTGTAGATGTTCATGGGTGGCGGTATTCATTTAACGCATGCTGAGTTGACAACTTTTCACATAAAAAATCTTTACCGTCCATTTTGGGTCTGAGATAGGACAATGAAAAATTCCGTGTATGCAAACTATAATTCAACTTAAGTAATTCCCTATCTAGTACTTTTTGTCTAACTTATCCAATAACTACAATTAAAGCAAGACTACTACGGAGAAAAAATTCTTTTTATTGCGTAAAATAACTAAACTAAACAAAATAGAATCCGCTCCATTTTTGCAAATTCATTTATTTAATTATCTTAATTCCTGAATTAACTTCTGTGCATATTGTATTAAAGACGCACATGCGCACAGCTGTTGGTCAATCTCCTTAATTAACTTCTGTTCATATTGTACGAGTAGGTACTATAGATGCGAACAGCTGTTGGTCAATCAAACATATCTATACAATAAATAAAATTGGAGAGTCTGTTTGTAATATTAAAAAAACCGCTTTTTACTAAATGCATATGGATGTATACACGGTACATATACCAACATATTTTTTTTTTTACAATTTTTGTCTGTCTGTCTGTCTATTTGATCCGGCCAATCTCTGAAACGGCTGGACCGATTTGAACGGGACTTTCACTGGAAGATAGCTGATGTAATAAGGAGTAACTTAGGCTACTTTTATTTAAGACGTTTTATATTTAAAATTCCACGCGGACGAAGTCGCGGGCACAGCTAGTATTAGATAAAGACGATTGTATATTTTTCGAATGCGTTATCATCGAAATTTTCGCTCTATTTATGAATACCATTAACTTTAGCTGACTGTAAAATGATTAAACGTCAGCTGTGTATATCGAGATGGTGTTACATAGGATAACCAAATTAAGCCCTTTGTTCCCGGCCTCAACTTCGAAATCTGTTACGTCGGATGTTTGAAATTTCTAAACGCTCGGGTCACTGACAATGTAGGTCGCCCAATGGCAGTTTAAATAACTTTAGTAAGGAATTTATAAAACATCGTTTAGAAAAACTCGAGGGTGCCGATCCTAATCTTGGCCTACACTTGAACATGAAGGGGCCAAATGATATTATTATTTACCTTTTTTTTCTTAATTCAGGATTTAATTAAACAATAATAAATAAACAGAGCTTAAAATGTTAGTTTGTTTGCCAAAAAATGTTCTTCAGCGATTAAATAAAAAGGATACACTAAAACAAATAAAAATGGTTTTCGATTCCCAATGTTTCAATTAATAAAATAAATATATAAAATATTTCCCACAACTGGGCAGAGGCGTTATCTATAAAGATGTTACGGCTTGAGCCCATTACGGATTGGCAGATTTCACATATCTTCGAAATATTTTTGTTATTATTTCGAAAATATGCAGGTATAATATGATGAAAAATAATGCCCTGATACCCTCTGTATAAAGGAGGCCTTTGCCCAGTAGTGGGACATGTATAGGCTGTTACTTTACTTTACTTTTATTGAAATAAAAGACAGCGGCCGGACACTGAGCATCACGGAAAGTGTGGCAGACTGTCGCCCCGTTTTTGAAACACTGATCATCGTAGAAGTCAACTAATCAACTGTCAAATGGCTTTTCAAATGTTATTTGAGTTTCTGATCTGATCATTAAGAAGATCATTCTGATCAATTCAGAGAGTTTAACAATCCTCTTGGCAACTCAAATAGTTGACTTCTAACAAACAGCTGATTAGTTGACTTGTACGATGATCAGTGTTTTAGAAACCGGGCGCAAGTGTTATTATTTTTTATTGTCCACTGTCATAATCTGCTCTCAAGATGAAAATTTAAACTTGAGTTTAATGGACAAATTAATGAAACATTTTTGGAGCACCGGGATTCAAACCTACGACTTTGGACGACACACATTTAAATACATATACTTATCTAATGAATAAATAGACGAAAAAATTTCGAGGTAGCGAGCTAGCGAGGCCTGATGCTCTAACCAACTGAGCTAAGTACCCGATATCGTCACGGCGCAGAAATTTCAACATATAGAAAATTATGAAATTAAATTAAATTATAATTTATTAAATTTATATAAACTAAAATGTAAATACATGCATGTAAGTAAAAAAAACCCTATATCATTTTGTACATACAAACGGGATTAGGTAAAGCGTTTATGTCATCTTGTCTGCGCTACAGACGACTCAAATTATAAAGAAATTAAAATTTATTAGTATGTATAAATTAACGTATAAACAATAGACTGTTATTATACTTGTAACAGTCGCGTTGGAAGTCGACCGTTAGATTTTAAACATATTTGCTTTGAGTAGTTAACGACTTGCATTCAAATTTGTACATTCGCCACATACAAAGCTAATTATTTTTAGTTGAAATTATATTGATATAACACCTTTAGAACTGTTATTTCTTCTTCCTTGTTCTATCCTGAACACATCTAAATAAATGAATTCCTCGCCTTCGAACAATTCCTTAAATATGCTCTTTAACATTTTATCTAGTGTCTATACATGTCCCACTGCTGGGCAAAGGCCTCCTCTATACAGAGAGTATCAGGGCATAGTCCTCCACGCGGCCCCACTGCGGATTGGCGGACTTCACATATCTTCGAAATATATATTTTTTTTGTTATTATTTCGAAAATATGCAGGTTTCTTCACGATGTTTTCCTTCACCGCGGAGCACGTGATAAGTCAGCACTTAAAGTTAAAAACTTCATTGGTGCCGGCACCGGGGATCGAACTCAGGTTGCTCGAGTATATTGAATTAAAGGCGAGCGCCCGGACACTAAGCTATCACCAAACATAACGCCAAAGTAAAACACTTCCACTTATTCTGTGTAACAGCAGTAGTTGTTGCGTGGCTCTACCACAATAAACGTTTCTAATAGTCCAAGAGCTAGCCCCCAAATTTCAACGTGATTAACACGTACACGCATTACTTGTATTTAAAGTGTTACTTTTCTGGTAAATTGAGCGAAAACGCGATTGGCAGAAGCCAATTCGATGTCTAAGAGCGTAGAGTGTTAAATGTACGGATATTCAAGGAAAAAAAACATGATTAGGTGCAAGGTTGAGGATTTGTTATTGCATCTTTATTATAATAAAGAAGAGAAAAATATAAAGGATTAGCAAAATCCATGAATATTTGAAAAAATCTGAAAAATACGTGATAATATACACAGAACTCTCATCAACGAACTGAATTTGATGTCAACTGGTCCGATTACTCGGTTGGTAACACTGCAACTCGTACCCATAATCCCGGATAGAAACAGTTTGTTTGTATGTAGCAAAAAGAGAGTTGCGGAAAGGACGGATCCCAGAGAAAAAACAAAATGCCTTCAACTAAAAACAATTGACAACGACTCGGAGAGATCGTTAGCTCGGGAAGTCTTTCACGTAAACGGGTAGACCTGGAGATTTTGGGGTGGACTGGAAGCTTGCTGATAAAGCTTGCATGCCAGACCCTATTACAGGCACTCGAAACATCAAGGGAAACCGCCAGTGCTTCACGGTTGTCCTTAAGGACGCTGCTCCAAAAGTGAGTGGCATACACTAGAAAATCTCCAGTCGACCGATTTCATATCCGTACTAGCGGTCGCTGAAAAGGTCGTTTTGTTCTAGTTATGCCATGAGGCGGTTATTCAATATATACTCTTTCAGATTAAGGAGGTAATTTCCATGCATAGGAAAAAAATGGTATGAAAGATGATGCATGTAATCGTTTTTGTTGCAGGCCATACGCGCCAGGGATTGCGGTGCCGTATGTGCAAGATGAATGTTCACACTGACTGCATGCCGCAAGTGGGCAAGTGCCAGACAAAGTCTAAGCTCCTTCGCCGCCAGAAGAGCACCTCCGAAATAGAGTCGCACAGAGTCCAAGAAACTGCTTTCGAAGAAGAAAGTACGTAGCAATGAACTTGAACCAACACATGTTAACCTTTAAGACTGACAACCTTTTTACACATGTTTATAAAAAGCAACTAATATCCCTGTATTTGTTTTCCAAAAGTCAAATAATAGTAATTTTAAACTATGAGATATTTCTCTAATGATAACGTTAACTTTATATTGACCAATATTTTTAAGAAATGTAAAAGTTTTCTTTATTAACGCGTTATTTATTATTTCTTTATTTATTAAAAAAAAAATAAAAGTGACCAAAATAAGCCTTTATGCTGATCTCATAACAGTTCAACTGGCTAAATAATAAAATGTAAGCAGAATACACATAATTTTTTCATCGACAATTTCAGCTGATTGAATTGGACGTCGTAATAATTATGTTTTATAAGTGGTAAAAGTGCTGTTACCGCACCAATAAAAATAAATACTTGCAATCCATATCACTAAACAGCCGTACAGCCTTTACCGTAAATGTGTATCCCACATACCTATATAACTAATATGTCATGTACAGAGAAAATATCACTTATACAATAGTGAAAAAAATACATTAGCACTTTGAAGCTTTTACACTACACAAATTAACACAAGTGACACACAATTAAGCTTATACGTCGGAAGTCAACTTAACGTTATTCAGGGGACGAGGACGGCTGGCTGCCCGGACAGAGAATCACCAAGATTTGTTTCAAGGGATCGGTCGAGTTCGATGACGATTTCGATAGCTACTATGACGAGGGTACAGTATTAAATGGTCAAACGTGCCCCCCGTGTACCCTTTAGACATCTAGACACCGTGAAACTAACATCCGCACCAGCGCCAGGGAGCAGCGCCACCGTTTCCCACTAACAGTGTGCGCACGTAGGAGTAGCCGCGCCCCCCGTCGCCCCGCACCGTTGCGTCGCCGCGTCGTTTACTAACATTTCGCTCGGTGCTCAGAGGAGGAAGTGGATCAGACCTACCAAGTACTGAAGCGGGCCAACGAAATAGCGAAGCCGGCCGGGGATTCGCGCGGGGGCCCCGTAGTGCGCGTGTCGGCGCCGGAGGAGCCGGGGGCGGCGCGCTCGCCGGCGCGGCCCGCGGCCGGCCTGGCCGTGGCGCCGCAGCCGCTCACCTCCACCTCAGGTGTGGCGCCGGGCCCGTTGCTTCGCTCAGCCGCGACGCCGCCGGCCGCTTCCCAGCTCACCCGTTTTCAGTAGTGTCGAGTTTTGCACGCACTCCCGTAAGTCGAGGGCGCGGGGCCGGGCCGGGGAGCGGTACTGAGCGCTGCTTGTCGGTAGGGGCGACGCGGCCCGACGGCGGCGTGAGGCGGCGGCTCTTCGCCGGCGTCAAGAGTTTGTCCATGTGGGGCTCGAGGTCGCGCCGCGGCTCGCCGCAGCACCGATCCGTTTCGCTGCCGGAAAGTACGCGCCCACGCTGCCGTAGCGCAACGCTCTCTGTCTCACAGCTGCCAATTGAGCTTTGTTTGTTCCGTCCGGCTGGGTTCCGGTGCCACGTTTGCGTTGTGTGCTCCGTATCATTTCCGTTTTCGTTCTCCTTTCTTTTGTATGACGTGATAGAGATGTTAGCTTAGTCCATAGGAGCGAAATATAGTTGAAGCTCGAACTTTAGGCGACCACTCTAGTTGCTTGACCCTGTCCTGCCTCTGGGCTTCATCATGGATAGTCGCGGCGACACATTGTACATTATCAATCCCTGTGCCCTTAGTTGGAGTTACCTTACACTTATGTTTCACCATTTGTTTTTTTTTTATTTTGTTTTTCATTTATTTAGTTTCTTTGTTTTGCGGGTTATCTTTACAGAGTCCGAGGAGACCACCACGCGACCTTTTGGACAACCCCTATGTTTCGTTAAAGAGAACGGCGATCCACCGCCATCAATTCTCAAGCCAACGGCGAGCGTTCGCAAGAAAAAATGACACTTCATACCGTCTCGATAAAAGCGAGAGCATTAATAATAGTTTCATATCCGTGACAAGAGCACTGACTCAGTGAGGCAAGGAGGCATGCGAGCGACAGCCGCATCCTAGATTTATCAATAATAATTAATAACCCCGAAACGCCCCGCGTTCTGTGATATGTATATTGTTACTGTTACAATAAAAATCAGAACAAAATAGATCTTTTTATAAATCCCTCGTCGTTTGCACAGTTGCATTTTTGACTTCATAAGCCTCTTCCTCTTGGGCGTTTGAATGAATGTAAGTGGTTGCATGGCTTGGTGAGGAGTGCTGATGGTCGCATGCTTTTGTCTTTAATGATATTATAACATCGCTGCAACTCTTGTATTTATGGACTCTTGGTACTTGCAGTGCGTCTCTAACCACGATTCTCCCTTAACACTAAAAATTCTCTATATATCACTAACGCTGCTCAATTTACAGCAACGAAGCACACAGCATCTACTGGGTCGTTTTAACAATCATTTTGACGAACTAATATTCGACTAACTAACGTTCCTTCCGCTTTTCAGTCGTTTTGACTTATCAATAACGCTTCTTTCCCTTTTTTCGCTATCTGTTTGTATGTTTTCATTTTATGCATTTACAGGCCATAGTGAAAGGGTTAAAAGCAATAATACTGTTGAAATAATGATCTAGCCGTGCCTGTTTACTTTGTCCACACAGGTTCGATGAGGAATTCGAAGAGTGCCCAAATGTTGAGGCAGGCTGACCGCACCAGTCCTTTACCTGGTACAATGAAACGGCAAATTATAAATAATTTCCCCATAGAGATTTTTTTGTTTATTATTAACGCAATGAATGTTGCATAAAAGAGCATTTTGTAAAAATATCACTCACAACCACATTCCGCAACGACACACTCCAATTAAAAACTGGTGGCGTGCTGCATATAAATATCATATAAAACAATTATTGTAAAATATATCGAAAATTGTCCATCTTAGAATATACATTTAGATGTTTAAGGTATCTGTATTGAAATCTCCGATATTTACGTTCTTTTGCATTCCTATTTACTCGTTATTGGTATTAACTTAGAGCATATGGTTTGCTACGCTTACGCACACTTCGATGTATTTCGATTATTTTATCGTTTTGAACTTGGATTGGTAGCACGAACATTTTACAAGTACATTTTTAATATGAAATATATAATTTAATAACTTAAACAATTAAATTTTATGTACCATATATATATAAATATATAAAACTTAATGCTAGCACGTTGAACATTACGTACTTTCTTATTTTCCTTTGAAAATGTTTAATTGTTATATATAAATGCTCGTAGAAAGTTTGTGTCACCATTCAAATAATTACATTATTATTACCTACACTTTTGACATTTATATTGTGTTTGACATAATTGCATTTTTAACATGTAATTTAATATGTGAATATATTTTATGCCCTTAATTCAAATTACAATTATAACGTTAAATTATATTCACCACTCACATAAGACAATCAGAATGTAGTAACATCTCAAATGACATAATCATTTCATAAGGTTGTCCACGAAGTTCGTCCGTGTGTCCAATGCTCATGCAACATGACTGTTGTAGCGCCACACTCGCCGAGACGTCAAAAGTTGAACCTTAGGATGAAGAGCCTGTCCCTGGATTCGCCAGAGTGCGGTGAGCTGAGGCGCCGCCCGGGAAGAGAGCAGCCCGCGCAGGGCAGCCGAGTCCTCTGTACGATCAGTAACAATACCCAACGGGTCCAAACAATCTTGATTCTCCCGCCATTTACGAACGGAACGCCAAAATGGCGGTGCGATACGAACAAAATGGCGGATGCAACGCATTTTTCGCTTTGAACCAGAACCAAACACGATAAGGATTTTATTGCTTTAAACTTAACGCTAATATAGCGACGAGACTAGTCGTGGATAACGGGTTAAAAGGTTGTTTGGATCTTTTTAAACTTTGATGTCAACAATGCGATGTTGTGAGCACAAGCAATGTTCACCTTCCAAAATTACCCTTCAGCTTAGCTTTTCTGTGTGATATTTCTGTGTATAGCATTCTGTCTAGTGAACTGACGTGCTTCTTTTGACGTCGTTCAAAACTGATAAGGCGAATCGTTTTACGATCTCCGTGTCTCCAATATGTGTCGTATATTTTTATAGCACTGTCTGATATTCATATTCTAACGTCGCCCTTAATAATTGATGTTTCATACTAAAATTTATCGTTACATTTTTATCAACGCTCGTTTTATTTACGCATGTGATTTATTTTTGTTCTTTTTTTTAGGTAACAGCAAAACGAACAGTAAATACAGCTCTAATAGAATAAATAATCGCACGATTTCTTATAACTATTCGCAATCATGTACGTCCTATTTTTTGCTTTTTTATCATCGAATCGAACTAAACAATACTTGTTGCAACTAAGCAATGATAAGAGAAGATAAACTCTTAAACTACATCACGGTGAACATTTCAAAGCTTTTAAAAAGTTACCTTTATGAGAACGGCTTGTTTTGTTATTCGGTAGTAACTAGATTACTGCGAGCAATGTTCGAAGGTCGGTTAATCTATTTACTGCCTTATCGCTTTATTAATACAACATTGTTTGGTTTGGGGCGATATTAAATGATAAGTAGCCATAACTCAGTTAACTTTATTTGCATGTTGCATGCGTATTATTAAGCATCCATTATAAACAGACCTAGTAAATGTCATATCTTCTCTAAACATGAAATAGAAATCAACTCGTGTTTAAGTTATATTGACTAATTTTAAATAAACGATAACCATTTATAAAACATTAACATGTAGTTGTACAAATATGGTGCAAGATTAAGTACCTCATAAACAATTTATAGTTATACAGTATATTATTAGTTCACTTTAAAAATATTTGGTAATCTAAAATTAAATATAAAGTGTATAGTTTATAAGATCTATTCACTTGAACTAATGAAGCATCATTTTTAATCGCAGTGTTGATAAAAATCATCATTATGCGTCAAAAGTCTTTCGAGGAATAGATCCATATTAGAAATAAAGAATGACTGTAACACAAATAGGAATGCTTTAAAGTTAAATTAAGGTCGGAGTTAGCGATCTTTCTTCCAGTTTTCAAGCCGCCAATTATGCTGCAGACGTCGCGTAATGGCTATCAACAGTTGGTACTTCGTATTTTTTGAAGCATAAAGGGGAATTGAAAATTCTAATGCTTAAGGTGCCTTTCCTTGTACACTGATGTATAAATTCCACAAGTGTAATTAGAAAACAGTTCCTAACTAGAAAGTCAAGTTAGAAACCAGTACAAAACAGTTAATGTTAACAATAAAATAGAGATATGTTTAAGGTGATTCTTGGGTATAATAAAGTACTTAAAGTTCCTTTTTTTATATCCTTTGTGAATAATAATAGTGACTTAGGCATAGAAATCCTTTCACTTACGTGAAACATTATTGAATATGTGAAAATGTTTATACATACTATGTTGATTTCTAGCTCATGATAATAATTATACCGATATATAACACAAATATATCTATATGCTGGAAAGGATATAACAATAGATGCGCCAAGCATTGCTTCAAATTATACGCTATCAGCCGTTTAGCTCAGTGGTAGAGCGTCAGGCCGCGAAAAAAGTGTTCTAAACTTACTCAGTTTCTTTGTTTCCAAACTTTTAGATTCCTAGTATACAGACGAAATTAATAATGAAAGGTTTTGATTAGGAATTATTTGAAAGTTTGTTGGTTTGTCTTCCAAAAGATATAACCGATCACAGATGACTCCCACAGAGTAAAGAACACAAACATTAGGTACTCGAACAAATTTTGTCCGGTTAGATTTTGTGTGAGTCCAGAAAGTTCCAAAATTTTCACTGAGGCTTTACATTGAAACTGAACTGCCATTTGATGCGCCGTTTAGCACCCTCGTCTCCAGTGCACAGCAGGAGGTTGTTAAGTGCAAGGGGGGGTCGCATGAGCAGCGTAGAGCTTCCGGACGAACCTGATAAGAGCCTGTCTTCTAATAGCGCCAGCCCATGCCCATCGCCGGTCAAGCAACCGAGTGTACGTACAACTTTTTTTACCCCAAACCTACATTAAGACAATCCTTGGACGGTGGTAGGGCCACGCAGCAGTCTCGCCCTGTTGCACGAATGGGCAGGCTCGTCCGGGTAAGTACCACCACCACACAGAAAACCGGCGTAAAGTGGAAGTATAATACTTGCGCGTTTCGTCTGGTGAGTGAGGTGGCCGGAGTCCAATTTTCAAAAGGTAGTCAACGTATCTGGAACCCTCGGGTGTAGCAGATGTCCATGGTCGGCGGTATTCACTTAACATCAGGTGAACCGTCTGCTCGTTTGGCAACTTATTTACATTAAAAAAAATCCTGCGTCGTTTTATCAACGAAAATAAGACAAGAACGAACACCCAGATCTGGAACAATCTGAAAGTCATATAAAAACTAGTCCCGAATGGGAGTTGAACCCACGACCCGTGGTGTCCAATGCTAATGCTTAAATGAAACTGTGTTACCACGGGGTAAAGTAAAAATATGTGTACCTAATGGTGATCGTATGCAAAGTACTTTCCGCTCTTCATCTACGGTTGGCAATGTAACTTCATAGTACTCTCCGTTCTTTATCAACTAGGCAACGATGCTTCAATGTACTCACCGCTCTTTAGCTCTTTTCTTTTTTCCATATAAATAATCATAAATCACATGTGTCTCCTTACAGAAGCACCAGCGGCTCCTACCCACAAATCTGTACGTGATTCTTTATAACTTCAAATCTCGTCACGCCGATGAATTGGATCTGAAGGCGGGGTACAAAGTGACGGTCATAGATACTTCTGATCCTGACTGGTGGAAGGGAAAGTGCTTGGGTAAAATTGGGTACTTCCCCTCCAAGTATTGCACTAAACTACAAGCTGGCGAACGACCTTTGCAAGTCACCCATAACCTACAGGTTTGTCCACAG